CCCTCCACCGACCCCAACACCTTCAACTACGTACGCCTATCCCAACCCAGAATCATAAAATCATAAAACCCAGACATCATCCAACTTCGGCCTCATCCCCCGCGCCTACCCCACAGACGCAGACCTAGGCCCCGACAACAACCAAAAAACCACCTGGGAGCGCTTCGCCCACCACGTGCGCACCCTCAACGCCCAATCCACTGACCCTAATGTCCGCTACAAGGTGCTCTTCCTCGGCCGCCACGGAGAGGGCTACCATAACGTAGCGGAGCGGGAGTACGGCACGGAGGAATGGGATGTAAGTAAACCAGTTATCTAAACTCAAACCCAAACCCCTCCCTTTTCCACCATAAAACCCCATTATTAATATTTGAAAAAGAAACATTACTCCCTCCTCCCCGGCAACGGCACAAGCAACTGGGTCGACGCCCGTCTCACAGAAGTGGGCAAATCCCAAGCGCAAACCGCGCACAATACCTGGAGACAGCAACTCAAGGAACATCATATTCCCACTCCGGAGAAATTCTACGTTAGTCCGTTGAATAGATGTCTTGAGACGGCGTGGATTACTTTCGTTGGGACGGGGATGGACGGTACGGAGCCGTTTAGGCCGGTTGTTAAGGAGGTACGTACATCTATCTATCTATCTACCCAGTTACCTTCTTTTGTCATGGACTATTCATTAAATAACTAGTGACAGCTCCTCCGCGAAACCATCGGCCAACACACCTGCGACGGCCGATCCAGCAAAACCGCCATAATGACCGAATACCCTACCTACATCATCGAGGAAGGCTTCACTGAGAACGACGAGATGTATGATGCCGAGCTCCGGGAATCCGATTCTGCGCGGGACAAGCGCTTCCGTGATCTGATGCAGGATATCTTTTCCACGGATGAGGAGAAGATGTTCTTGTCGTTGACGGCGCATTCCGGGGCGATTACAAGTCTTTTGAATGTTTTTGGACATCGGAGGTTTTCACCGCTTGAGACTGGCGGTGTTATTCCGGTTTTTGTTCGTGGGGAGAGAGTGCCGGGGCCGTTGCCGGTTATGGAGGTGGAGCCTTGGTTTGGGGTTCCTAAGTGATTTGTTTAGACATATCATTGTTTGTGTTTTGTGGGGGCTATGCATATAGAAAGAGAGAAACTAAGAAGTATATAGATGATAGATATTGTATTGTACATTGATTCTTGGATCGAAGCAACCCTCATCATACACGCACGTTAAGATAGAGACACGGGGGGTAAGGTAACCAAGAAAAAGAGGTTTTTAAAACACATGCTGAGAAAATCCACCAGAGAGGAATAAAGTGCTTCTTAACGGTCTAGGAATATTGAACAGAAAAACAACGCCGAAAACGTATAATCGAAACATTGATCACCAGCTGTAGAACTGGTTCTGTGCCGTAATCTTGCGGTCCGGCAGCGGCGTCCAGAGCTTAGCCTTACGCTTGCGCAGCTCCTCGGCCTCCCGGTTCTGCCATTGACGGATACGCGTCTGCTCCTCCTTCAGCACCACCGACAGAGAGGTGTACGGTGGACGCATGAGGTTGATGTTGCCACGCGCGCGGTGGTCGTAGTCGTAACCGTACGGGCCACGGTTAACCCACGCTTGGTCGATGTAAATGGAGGTAGGGTCGTTGATGGTCTTACGCTCTCCGTTCTTGAGAGTGATGGTGACGGGCTTCTGGTTGGCGGTCTTGCCCTCGACGGCTCCCAGACCCATACCGGAACGCACCACGGCGACGTTCTTGGCATGCTCGAGGTGCTCGAGGACCTCCTTGGCGGCCTTCTTCTTGCTCAAACGCATCTGCAGCATGGCATCGTCGATGTTCTTGCCGGCAATCTGGCGAGCAAGGGGACCCAGCTTCTTGACGGAGGTCTTGAACCAATGGGACTTGGAGAGGGACTCGCGCTCCGTCCGCATAATCAACTCGGTGGGCGAGATGCGGCCTCGACGACGGATCTCGCGAGCAACCATCTTTTGTTCCCAGCGTGTGCGCGCCTTGGGGTTCGGGTCCAGCACGGCCTGCATCGTCTCCCGGTTTCGTCGGTCAACGGCATAGTCAATCTCTTCCTGGCCCTCCTCGGTGGCGCCTGCTTGCTTGCGAGCAGCAGGCGTACGGCCGGAGGCCACCAGCTTGGGGCTGGCTTCATCCTCTGCGAAGATGGAGTCGGCGCTCAGGGAACCCTCGCGTTTGGCGGGAGCGGTGGTGCGGCGAGCTTTGGGCTTGGCGGCGCCGGGCTTGCCGCCGAAGAAGAAGTTCTTGATCGAGGACAAGGTGGAGGGCTTCGATTCGGACTCGGGCTTGTCATTGGGGCCGTTGGGGCCGTCTTCGGAGGCTTGACGAGGGACAGTGTAGGCCAATGTGCGGCGAGGGACGTAGGTCAGGCCGGTCCGGGCTGAAGAGACTGCAGGGAAGAGGTGAGGATGAGAGGGGCCACAATTGGGAGAAAAACAAGGTTATGTGTCTTGCGGGTACTTACTGGACCGGATCAGCTGCCCATACTGGGGGACAGCACCCATTGAGGCCATGACGGACGATGAATTTGGAGGTGATAGCACGGGGTCCGGAGATCAGAGGGAAAAAAGTGTCGGGATGAAGACTGGGCCTTGGCGGTGCGTCTCGGGTCTGTCCGGTCCGCCGGATGCTTCTGCCTCGACACCTGATATTTCCGGGGTCAAGATTTCCAAGCCGCAAGGCAAGCACTAGTCTAATTTTGGAAGGGTCAGCCGCGGCTGGATCATGTGGCTTTGGCTGGAAAGGGAATCCCGGTCCTGCCAATCACGGGGTAAGACCATCTGTACAATGACCTCATAGTCCGGAAGGGTGTGGTGGCCTCGGCCTAACCCGCTTTGCCCGTTCGGGTAGCAGCCGGCCAGGCCCTCCCACCTGGGGAGCTGTACTACATGCATCCATCCATGCCTGCCGAGAACAAAGTTTAGAATTGGCCATGCATCGTTCAGGGCTCGGATCGCGCCTGAGTGTCTGGGTCCTCCAGCCACTGACCATTTATAGTTACCCGTCTCCCGAGCTAAATCACTGGCCGGTTACACAGCACGAAAGATCGATCAAAGTCGAGATTCCCTGCTTTTGCAGATAAGAACCCAGCCGCAAAGCTGCTGGGACATGCAGACTGCTGGGACTGGTATCACTTGACATGCGTTCATGGTCTATCAGCCCAGTGGTAAACCCCCTGTTCTCTCAATGCAGATCTGGTGGTTGATGTCCGTCAACTTACCTCCCATATATCCAACTGCATCTCCTCCCATCTAACAACCTTCCATCCTCTAAGCAGCATTATTCATTGCTGCTTGTATCAATTATCTCAAAACTAACAAGCCTTACACAACAACTAGCTTCTATGGCTCAGTTGGTAGAGCGCATGACTAGTAATCATGAGGTCCGCGGTTCGAATCCGCGTGGAAGCATTTTTTGCCCTTTCGCTTTTTGCCTCATCACATGTCTCTAGCCTGTCTTTCGACGCTGATACTGAAGATGAAGGGGAAAGCTTTGCTAGTTGAAGTGAACTAATTGGTCATTGGTCGGCGGCCATGGAAAATGAGCCGCCAATATCCAAGATATTCCAGGTCTTGTGATCAACCAGCCATGAGCTTCTATGCCGGTTGTAAGATTGGGTATAGGAATTGAGTTGGAGATCCATGAGACTCCTGGATACTTTGTTCTTATTTGGGGCCCACTTGCCCACCCCCTACCGTTCGGGCTTTTCATGACTGTGTATGGGGTGTTTCTGATTGTTGGCACTCGGCAGAGCTTGGTGCGGATAGCCACCGTGCGCCAGCCTCTAAACGTAGACAAGGAGCCCTTGATACTTCTCTTTATCATTCGGGGCCTCAGGATGGAGCACTCGGTGACTCTCTTGTATATCTCGACAGTTGATTACTGCCATAGGTCTTACTTTCGGCCATCGCTATATATTAGCGGCGCCGAGCTATTTCCGTAATGGTGGGCGGCGGATAGTTATACGGCAGGTGCTAGAGAGGTGGCGCTGGGATTGGCGATAAATTTGGCATATTTTGAGCTAGATAATGGACTTCGTGGTTGGTTAATCACCGTGTATGAGTCAGTGTCAGCGCGGGGTAATTGGCTCGAGGAAAGCCTGCTGTACGTGCTCAGGCTTACCCAAGTAAGGGTGCAGTGGGTGGGGATGTGCGAGGTTAGATTAGTATTGCAGAATGTGGCTGGCTGTGCTCCCTGTACGTGTGTGGGGGTAATGGCAGCGAGGATCTGAGGACAGAGGTGCTGTATGGAAGGTTGGTTTGGGATGGGCATACACATGGCGTGGGTACTGCTGCGTCGCACGATATTGGCAGAGTTCTTGTTCTTTATATCAATGGTGAATACCGATCGCGAGGTATCATATTGAGGAGGGTAGGGGCAATAGCCTTGGTGAGAATTCCATGGACTTCTGTTAGGGGTGCTTTCCTGCTGAACTGTCAGCAACATACCCTGCAGGAAAATGTCTCCGTTGGTGGTCTATATGCTACCGCCGGTGTTCTTTGATGCCTCACCTTCCACGGGTGCCTGTTGTGTGACACATGCTAAGTGACCTCTCTCGTGCGTTCGCATGGTAGCAGCGGAGACACCGATCGTGCATTGACTATTACTGTCTTCAGTGATACTCTTTTCTAATCCTGTTCTCGGCCAGGCTCCTGTGGTATGCTGACGGTGTGGGTATGATCCTCTGCTGGCATTGTAGGTTTTGTATAAAGTGGAGGGGTTTTCGGGGTTTGCGTTATGATGAGCGCGGTGGTGACTAGGGTAGTATCTGTTGGCTTCGATCATATCGAATTACACATTGTGGTAGTTGTTAGTATAAGTGCCAGATTTTGGTGTTAATAGTTGGCCTGTGTGGGTGGTCAAGATCACGATGGCGCGGTGTCCATGGCGATAGTATATATAGTGTGCACGGAAAGCTGGCGAATGTAGCGGCAATAGTACTTCTGCAAGATTGACAAGCTGTAGGCGAGAAAACACAGATAGTATACTGGATAGAAAGGGAACAAGAGCACTTGCAGCACTACTGACTATGCCTAAACATGTCTCAAGAGGTGTATGCATAGTAGAAATGATAGCAATGATAATGTATCTTTCTGGAAGGCGCGGACCGTCCAATTCCAGGGCAGCAGGTGTCATTGTCTAGCACAGGAAGAAGTAGCATAAGATGAAAGCAATTCACATCAACCAGCTTCTATGGCTCAGTTGGTAGAGCGCATGACTAGTAATCATGAGGTCCGCGGTTCGAATCCGCGTGGAAGCA